AAAATAGGTAAACAAATATTTCGGAATTTGAAACATAATTTATTTCAATGTTTAAATGCTTAGGATTCGATTGAAATTAATAAAATATAACTTGTATTAATTTACAATATGCATTTACATACTGTTTACAAAGGAGTTTCAGTTTATGCTAAGCATCCTGATGAAGTTAATATCTTTACTATTTGTCAATTTAAATTGAGATATAAAAACCCTTATCGCCTTAGTGACTTAAAATATGTTTAGTCGTTCTATACCAATCCCCAATATTAAAAACTCTAAGGTCTCGAGAATGGCCACCCCGCCAGACTTCGGTCATTCCGTCCACCACCGAGGTTGGAGTCTATGGGCTATCAATAGGTCATTTCAGCCCTCAATGCAATCAGTCCCAAACCAGACCCATTCATACTCTCTCTCAATATTAGATCTTCCTATTTACATAACAATCACTCAAGGTTGTGGAGTTCTGTATAACTAATCTAATTGAGGATATGGGGTAATCAATATTCTCCCTTAAGCCCTTTCACCTTACACATTCACGCTAATAAATACATCAGACTCAATACAATTAATTAAGATTTTTAGTTGAGATGAAAAAAAGTTAATGGCACGAGCGGGATTCGAACCCACGATCTTCAGCTAGATACGTCGCTGCTCTACCACTTGAGCTATCGTGACCTCGATCCACTCGGACATCAACTTCCTATCTCAACCTCACCTTATGAGTTTTCCCTCTTTTTTGCCATTTTTCAAATGTCGTGTAATCGGATTAGATTCTCGACGACAAATGAAATGGCCACGGAGAGCTTTAGTGAAGTGTACTTCATTTTAATTCATTAAATTTACTAATTTGTGGTCCGCTTGACCAATTAATACATTACAATTAATTAAGGTTTTTAGTTGAAATGAAAAAAAGTTAATGGCACGAGCGGGATTCGAACCCACGATCTTCGGCTAGTTACGTCGCTGCTCTACCACCTGAGCTATCGTGACCTCGATCCACTCGGACCCATAAGGTGGGGTTGAGATGGGGAGTTGATGTCCGAGTGGATCGAGGTCACGATAGCTCAAGTGGTCGAGCAGCGGCGTATCTAGCCGAAGATCGTGGGTTCAAATCCCGCTCATGCCATTAACTTTTTTTCATCTCAACTAAAAACCTTAATTAATTATAATGTATCAATTGGTCAAGCGAACCACGAAATTAGTGAATTAGACTTAATATGCACAAAGAAGCACAAAACGAGACGTCTATAAGTAATCGTAACAGGGGCCCAAGTACTCGCTTCTGTGCTCAAGCACAATTCTATCGGATGGCATTCCTACGTGCTTTCCGGAGCCAAAAAATTGTACCATTCAACTAGTTGGAACGCACTCAAACTTTCTCTCATTTAATGAGTGCTTTGGTCCAAAAAGCTCTAACATTTTTCAATAAAATTATACTCACTCGGTGCATTATTCATCAACGCGCACTATGCAAAAATATTTTGAAAATCGATCATGTTACAAATGTAGTTGTGAGATTAGTGAATTTCCTACGATCATCAGGATTAAATCACAGGCAATTTATTGATCTCCTTGAATAACTACCATTCATTTAGATCAGTGGTTCCCAAACTTTTTTGACCCATGGACCCCTTTTTATAGTCAAAAATTGTCCACGGACCCCCCAAGTGAAAAAGCCATATAAATGCATAATATAAAAATTACAAATAAAAAAAAAATGTTTTGTTGAAGAAGTATTTTTGAAGTTATAAATATATATAATTATAATACTAATTACTTTTGTTTAAAATAAAATATAAAAAAATTAATGACTTGGATGAACGTGATGAGATGTTATGAGTGTATAATTTCTAATCGGTTTCTTTCTTTTGTGATGAGGTTCATAACGGCACTGAATCCACGTTCTACCAAATAGAAAGACGAGCAATCAACAACTTCTGTACTATAATATTGCAGGATATAAAATTGGGATCTGTTTTTGTAACCAGAATTTGTGGTATCCTTGTTGAAACATTGGTTTAAGTTCCTCATTTGTGGATATTTCAATAAGCTGCTCCTGTGGATGGATTCTTACTTTTTATACATCTAATCTTATAATTCAATAAGATACCACTTATAATTTTATAACACTGCGTAAATGTGGTGTTTATGTTAATACATTAGGATGAATGTAATTTATTAGCGTGAAAGGAAGGGGTTGCCTATAACCCCGCCCCGAGGAATATCGAGTACTCTGGGGTGAGTGTGTGACGTCTGGAGAGTAAAAGTAAGTTATTAGCGCGAATGGAGTGGGTTCAACCCCGCCCCGAGGAATATCGAGTACTCTGGGGGAGTGAATGTGACCAGACTTCTATGTTTGTGGCGAGATAAATGTTATGTATTGTATGTTGTGTATCTATTCTTAAATTGACAACCTGAGGTACTAACAAGAGGCTAGCTTTTTAAAATAACGACGTAATATACAAGTAAAAGCAGAGAGTCAGTAACCAGATCGAGATGCTCAAATCGCTGCAGTTCAATACAAAATATGCGATAAAGACAGGAAAGAGAAGGAATACACGCGGAGGGCCGGCGATGACCTCAGCTGTTTGTCGGCCCATAAACCTTCCACTTTATATATAACACTGCGTAAAAAAAGGAATCAACTGAGACATAATAACCTTGAAAAATATCCTACCACACACCTCCTGGAGGTGACTAGGAGTAGGACTAGAATGTTATGTGTAAATAAGTGTACTTACAGATAAAAACACCTCTTTCTTCAAAGGGAAAAAATCGACTGATCGTGATCGCTAATTTATTTCCAGCTTTGGTGTGAAAGATCTCATACTGAAGTTTAAACCGAAGGAGCGAGGTCGGGTACCTCAAGTTAAGCTGGTTATTTTAGCAATGAAAGCCTATCCACCTCAAACTCATATCTATCAAATTTCCTTAGTTTTTAATTTTTTAAATTTCCAGCATAAACGTTTCAATCGATTTCTCTGAATACACGCCAATGCTAAACAATGACTGTTTGCCTTCGTGGGTCACAATTATAAATTTAATTATAGCTGAATTGAAATTGAGAATTACCTACGCACAGACTTTCTCAAATCGCTATTAGTCGTTCCTCATTACAAATGTACACTTTAATTAAAATTAAAAATTAAATTAAAATCTCTTTGATCAATTATCATAAGGCAGTGGAATTCATTAAATTTTTATACACGTAGATGGATTTGTATATAAACGAAGTTAATGAGGGCTTAAAAAAATTAAAATAGAAGCTTAGAAAGCTTAAATTCAAAATTTATATCAATTGATGGACGAGTACATGTTGGATGGATTTGGTGTTGACGAGCTATTGTCAACAATTTGATCAAACTGTCCGCTTGATTTAAGCAGACGAATTTCTTCAGACGACAATGAAAATTCTGATTGTCCTTTTACCACTTTTTAATATTTGAAAGGCAATTTTCCTTGAGTCACCAGAGCGTTATTCTTTACGTTATACAAATGATTTAAAGAAACGTAATCGTGCATCTGGTTGAAGGATATTGCTTTGGATGATTACTACCTCTGAACTTCGCCGGCACTTTACACGGAATCCACTTCGCATAAAAACCCAGTTTTCCCACAATATTCCTTCATTATTTTCATTCTTAAAGCTCACAAGCTTCCCAACCATGTGTCGTCTTATAGACCAAACAGACGTATTATTTCAATGCTCAAAATCCTTGAAAGACTCGTTTTAAATCGTTTAATACCCATCATAGATACTCATAAAACTTCTCACCAATACAGCTTCCGTCCTCATCATTTCATAATCCAAAAAGGTTTCAGACTTGTCGTCACTATCTCCTTTGCTCTAGAGAATAAAGAGTATTGCTTGGGCTCCTAGATGTAGCTACCTCAGACATGACTCTTCCCATACTTTAATACCTCATCCTGAAATCCTATCTAACAGACCGCTGCTTCAGAGTGAGATGTGCCAGCGAGTTCTTGGATATAAGACAGATACAACATTCTTGGTCATTTAAATCATTTATACTACTGACTACGTAAACACCCTAATACCATCATCACCACAATTTTGCCCTCCAACTCGAATTTATCCAAGCTAACTCCAACATCCGAGAAAATCATGAGCTTATCGAAGGCAGGTGCAAAAAGTGGAGGACACATTAAATAAACAGTCTTGCCATCCACTAAACACTTGTCGCTTTGTCACCTTTTCACTCTCTATATCAGATAGAGAGAGATAGGGAGAGGGATAGGGAGAGAGAATGTGAAAAGGTGAGGGTAAAATAGAGAGACAGACAGATATATATATATATAGAGAGAGAGAGGGCGGAAGGGAGGAGAGAGATATACAGATATATATATATAGAGAGAGAGAGAGAAAGAAAGAGAGAGAGAGAGAGAGTGAGAGAGAGAAAGAGAGAGAGTGAGATAGATAGACAGATATATATATATATATAGATAGATAGATAGAGATAGAGAGAGATAGACAGACAGACAGACAGAGAGAGAGAGAGAGAGAGAGAGAGAGATAGAGAGAGAGAGAGAGAGAGAGAGAGAGAGAGAGAGAGAGAGAGAGCGAGAGAGAGAGGAGAGAGTTAGAGAGATTGCATATGTTTGAGAGTGCTTCCCAATACTTTTGACACAAGAAAATTTAAAAATTTTACGAAAAATGCAAAATACACGGTAAATTAAAATGTACACAATCCTAATCTATGTAAATGTTTCTTCTATATTCTTAGCATGGCTAAAAATCTATTTTCTTGTAAAAAAGGAGAAGTGCAAAAGTGTATAAATATCAGTGGTTATTTTTACATTTGTCTATGAATTTTTAAGATTTTCTTGGTTAAAACTGGACATCCGTCCTTCGGGGGTTGGAATGTTTTATGCGGACAGCATAAATCGCGTAATAAAGTGGTAAAAAATGTGGTATATTTATGAATGAGGGGCTCTAAAGCGCCTCTGCTGGGCCCTGGCAACACTACCCGTATTGATTCCAGGGTTCATGTCAAAATGTGTTGTGCCTCGACCTGAACGCTATGCACTGTATACCGCTCATCATTTTATTTTTTTCCACGACTGCCTGGGCCCAAAGAGGTGAGTGACAACCAATTTTTTAACAACGGATAAGTCAAATAGTGTGAAAAATGTCGACTTTTTGAATTTTTTGGTTTAATTCGCTTCACTCACACCTAGAGGCGGTGTTCGTTGTTTTTGACTTCTTATTTTTAAAATTATCAGTTTTTTAATTTTTTAAAAGTTTTCTTTTCTTTAGTGAAGGGATTCGATTTTTCCTGGCTGTGGTTCTAAGTTGGGATTTTTTTTTAGCAAACACGTAACATATGTCGCAGTGCCGTGCTTAAACCGTTTTTTGTTTTCATATTTAAAAATAAATATTAATTCAGTTACCGCGTTATGGCCTTTCTGGACAATGGAATTATCAAAGGAACGATACCGGCCGTTTCCTGGCCGAATGATAAGCACGGGTTAAAACCGTTATCCAGGATGATAACTGGGCATGGCTCGCTAGGGCATGGAATATTTTACAAAAAAAACTTTTACAAATAGGAAACAAAAAATAAAACGAATTTCCTTTTATATACAGAGTTTTCCTTAATGTAGCAGGATCTCGGCTAGTGCTAACGAGGAGGCCTGTGGAATCGAAACACTGACCTTCTCAAAAGTAATGTATTCCATTCACAATTGCCGGTTCCAGGTCAAAACGATTTCTCAAATTGGCAATAATAATGAATAAATAAATTTCATTAACAAAGTACAAAAGTTAAGAACAATTATAAAGGAAAACACGTTTCGATAAAATTGAAGAATTTATTTTGTCGTAGGGGAAAACGAAGAAAAATGAGTTTTCCCAGCTAGCAAAATTAATTATCGGGACTACTTGAATAACGTTGAGTTTGTACGTTAAAAATTTTTCCTCCCTAGTCATTCTTTTCACCATTTTTTAAATTTTTGAACAAAAAACTTCTTTATCAATGGCAGAATTAAATTGAAACCAATCTAAAATATAGAGATAACAACATGGGCGGTTGTTTTGTAATACCATTTTGTACATGATTTAATAATACCCAGTGTCGAAGAGAACAGAGAAAACCACACTTTAACCGAGAGCTGATGAAAAATGAGTTTTACCCTCCAGGTGCAATCATAACGTTATGACAGAGGCTTTGGCAAAGAATTCCTTTGATCGGGGTACAGATTTGCATTATGTTTTCCCCACTGTTGAATATTACTTAAAATCCCTTTGTGATTTGAAGGGCTCTCGAGAAACAGCAAAATTATTAATAGAAGGGGAAACCCTTTCAAAAAGTTTTATTTTATTTTTTTTAACAGAAAACAACTTTAATTTTATATTCCAAATAATCACCCTCTGGTTTATGGATTATTATTATCAAAGCCTTCTTTCTATTCTCCAAAGTAAAAAACGTTTACTTAAGCAAATTATGGCATAATTTAACATTTCAGAGAGATGTATATCGACAGGATGGAGGAAAAGAACCACCCATTAAAATTTACCTCTCAACGATTCCGTAAAACGTAGAAAATCGGAATAATAAGTTTTTAAAAAATTGAAGCAAATAAAATTTCTTTATAATATTCGGAATGACTTAATTAACATGGCGTTTATGAGCACTTAGCAACTATATGGTTCTCGTTTTGAAGATTAGTTATACAGTGAGTCTTATGGGCGTTTTCTTTTAAACCTTCTGTCGTTGGTGGAAGTCTGTTTGCACCGTCTCATGAGGATATTGCCATGGATTATATCATAAGCCTCTTTGATCAGGATGGTAATAGTATGCATTGAGGTCCGAATGGAATATTTTGCATAAACCATGGCGCAGGTAATACTTAAGTTCCCTAATTTCGTGGTCCGCTTGAGCAATTAATATATCACAATTAATTAAGGTTTTTAGTTGAGATAAAAAAGTCAATGGCACGGGCGGGATTCGAACTCACGATCTTCGGCTTGATACGCCGCTGCTCTACCACTTGAGCTATCGTGACCTCGATCCACTTGGACATCAACTTCCATTCTCAACCGCTCCTTTTGAATTTTCCCTCCTTTTTGCCATTTTAATCTCAACTAAAAACCTTAATTAATTGTAATATATTAATTTGTCAAGCGGACCACAAAATTAGTGAATTTAATGATTAAAAATGAAGTATATTTCACTAAAGCTCTCCGTGGCCATTTCATTTGTCGTCGAGAATCCAACCCGATTACACTACATTTGAAAAATGGCAAAAAGGAGGGAAAACTCATAAGGTGCGGTTGAGATGGGAAGTTGATGTCCGAGTGGATCGAGGTCACGATAGCTCAAGTGGTAGAGCAGCGGCGTATCAAGCCGAAGATCGTGGGTTCGAATCCCGCTCGTGCCATTGACTTTTTTATCTCAACTAAAAACCTTAATTAATTGTAATATAATACTTAAGATTCAATTTGGTTGTTAGTACCGTCTGCAGGTGAGATTGTCCTTCTGAGTCACTGGAGTGTAACTAAATGGGATAGACTTTTAGTTGCTAATAGGGGGGTTCTTACTAATGCCTTCCTTAGTTTTGTTATTCGAGTTTTAACTATGTTTGCTTTAGGTTGTTAGTCACAAGGATGGGTTCACGAAAGTGCGCCATTTTTTACGCCACTTTCTAAGGCCTGAAACTTGTTGGGCTGCCAATTGAGCATCTCCTAAAATTCTACCTGAGCGTAGGGCCGGTCGTATGTAATTTGAACTATTGTGACGTCTTCGTCTGTAAGGAAGCTTACATAGGCAAGGTAATGAAATGGGTGGTACTGATGTAGGGATGGACTCTGCCAACGTATTGGAGTTTGGCTAGTAATTCCATCCATCCAAGGGTTTTTCTGTGTCAGAAAAAACTTTCTAGGCATATCTTCCTTTCCTATAATGTTTAGGGTGACTACTCGGTAAAGCTGTTGGATAAAGGGTGATTTTGCACAATTTCCATTTGTCCGTCTGGTAGAAGTGGATTGAAATCTGCTAAAGGTTTGTTGGTAAGAGACGTTCGGATATTTTCGGAAATGAAATTTCCCACTTGGATCATGAGATTTGTTCAAGTGGTCAGGGAGCGATGAACCTGCAATTTGATCGTTATCGTTCATTTTGGTCTGTATATCCTCGCCGGGTCAGACTCGTTGCGGCATTTTGTCATCTTCTGTGCGTTTACTGCAAACGTTCAACCCTTGAAGTAGTTGGCGATGAGTCTGAACTAGGGGTGTGTATGTGTGTGTGATAGCGAAACAGCGATTTTCTTTCCCTCCCTCTCTCTCTTTCTCTTTTTTTGTTTTGTCGTTTTTTCACTATCTGATCCTTTCATGCCCTCTATCATTTTCTTCCCCCCTCTCTTTATTTTTTCCCTTTGCCACCTTTTCACTCTCTATATCAGATAGAGAGATATATAGGTAGGGAGAGAGAGAAGGAGATAGATAGATAAGATAAAGAAAGATTATATATATATNCAGAATATATATATATATATATATATATATATATTTATAGAGAGAGAGAGAGATTCATTAATTCAAATGAAAGATTGTATCTCATTTATTTTCTCTTCTGTCTCTCTCTTTCTTTCACCTTCTCTCCCTATTTCTCAATTTCCATCGATTGATCTCTTTCTCTCTCTTTCTTTCACCTTCTCTCCCTATTTCTCAATTTCCATCGATTGATCTCTTTCTCTCTAGCTATATATTTGAGGACAGATTTCCTTCTGTGATCTGAGGCAATGTGATCCTTACCGATCAACTTGGTCTGCTTTTCCTCGCTGCATTGTTTAGTATCTATCTTCTCTCTGTCTCTGTCTCTATCTCTCTCTCTCTCTCTCTCTCTCTCTCTCTCTCTCTCTCTCTCTCTCTCTCGTTCTCTCCCACTCTCTCATTCACCTCCTCAGACATCAATTCTTTGTTCCTAATCTGACACATTGAAGACCAGTCTGCCAGACTAACTTTTTTTTCCCATATTGTCTTAGGTGAAGAATTAGTTGAAAGGCATGATTCACGAGGAATAAATAGCGGTTCTTTTACTCTTTGAGAAAACCATGGTTCGGTATTTGATTTGAAATGTTGCAAAATGTCCATAAAAATGTAGCATTTGATCTATTATTTATAACAATTTTGAAGAATTGTTATTTATAATGATTATTTCTCTTGTTTTAAAGCAACATAAAGGAATTTTGGAGAATTTGATATTGTTTGACTTTGTAATTTTGACAAGTTTCAAATTCAAATTTTCGACTTTTTTCCAGAAAAGTAACGCAAAAAGTAAATCACATCGCCCAAAATATGGTATTTCATCGGCTTCTCCAAATCAAAGTTTTAATTGATAATTTAGACATTAATCATAAACTTTTCGAGAACTTTTAATTAATGTCGGTTATCAGGAAAGATCCCTCTTATCAGAGGACGTGGGATGGGTTGCTGACATTAAAATTACGTCCGTATATTCTAGCAGATCTCCAGCTTTTTCCTTAAGGATCCATAAACGATCCAGTTTCCTTCCTAAATGAGCTCATATTTTTGCATTGTACATTACCTTTTACTCCGTTTTTTACTTATAAGATAGTCTTGCATCGATAAGTCCTGATCTGGGCTTAATGTCGATATTCTAAGTGATTCTAACATGTTGTACAATTTTACCATACAACAATTATTTTGGTCTGTTCGCCCTCGCTTTGTTGTTCTTTTTTTTTTTTTTACGCGTTACACCTCTTCATCATCATCAGTGGTGGCTTTGTGTACTGTTTTACTTATAAAGTACAATTATTACCACACTTTTTCCCTAAACAAAGGGCTACAGGAAAAAAAAACAATAATACAAACAAATATTTAAAAAAAATTAAAATAAATATGTAAAGGTGAATTAATTGAAAAATCAAGTAATGAATGAATTTAATAATAAATAAGTTGCAGTAATAAAGTACACAAATATAGCTTATGGTTTGCCTGTCATCAAGTCCTATTCTAAGTAAGTGCCTAACTTTTTGAGATGTGCCCTGTAAATTTGGTATTTTGAGAGATTTTTTCTTGGATTCTGGGAAGTGATGAACTTTTAGACAGACTCCAGGTC